CAGCTCTTCATTCCTCTGCCCCTGCTGCGGCCCTCCTGCCGTGGACCCTGGGCCCTGCTCCAGGACCGGCCAGGCCTGGGGGGGGCGGTGAGAAGGCCCCGAGAGAGGAGGGGAGAGCAGGCAGCTGAGCTCACGTCCCTGCCCGCGCCCCCGGCCTCACCCCCACCCCCTTGGCTACTGCAGCTCCTGCAGACCACCAACAACTCCCCGATGAACTCCAAGCCTCAGCAGATTAAAATGCAGTCGACGAAGAAAGGCCCCCTGAGCAAACGAGAAGACGGCCCCTCCGGAGGGCCGGCGGTGGGGGCGCCCCCACCTGGAGATGAAGCTTGCTCTCTCGGGGCCGCGCAGTCAGCTTTGTCCAGCAGTCTGCAGCCGACGGTGAGCGCGCCTCCCGGGCGGGTCCCGGGCCCCGGACACCGCGGGGGGGGGGGGCGGGGGGCAGGGCGATGGCGGCTGTGCCTGTCACCGCGGTCAGTGAGGGCGACGTGTAATGGAAGGGTCTCCGCCCCGTCCGCACTCGGACGGAAGGTGTTCCCCACAGCCCAGGCACAGGCGCTTCGGAGCGTGCGCCTTTGTCTCTGGGGGCGGTGTTTCTCGACCTTGGGGGTGTGGCCTGCGTGACGCCAGTTTAATTGGTCCTGATTAGCGATTGGCTCCACGTGTGCGTTTCCCTTCCCAAGTGCGGTTTACAGGTGAGGGCGGCGTCCGCACGTGCTGCCCATAAGGTTGCAAACTGTTGCCCTCTCTGCTCTCCTGTGCCCCCTCCCCGACATGATGCCTCCTGCGGGGCTGGCGGCCTTGGGCCCCGTGTCACTGCGCCTGTCGCTCAGCATCCCCTGCCAGCACCTCGCCCCTTCCCGAGCCTCTCCCCCCGTCCGGCTCCTCTGTGGCGAAGGAAGCCTTCCCCTGGGCCCGCCTTCCCCTGGGCCCGCCTTTCCCACCGCCTTCCCCTCCTCTCTCCATCTGTCGGTGGTGGCAGGGGTCGGTTCCTGACCTCTCACCCCCTTGCCACACCACACTTGCCTTCCCTCTGGCGGGCAGGCAGGGCCGCGGCCCCGGCTCCACCAGACCGCAGTGACGGCTGCTCCGGCGGGGCCGGCACCGCGCTGCCCGCCCTTGGTCTCAGGCCCCGTCTTCCTGCGGCCCCCGCCCCGCTGCTCTCCTCCGCTGCTCCCGGGGTCACTGCTTCTCACGCTCCTGCTTTCTCTTCCAGTCCAAGCCCAGCAGTGGGGGCCGGCGACGAGGGGGCCAGCGTCACAAGGTGAAGAACCAGGGGGCCTGCGCGACTCCTGCCAGTGGCTGCTGAATTTCCTCCGCCTGCCCTCACCGCCGAGGGTTCTCCTGCTCTGGGCCTGGGCGGCCCTGCGCCTGCCCTCAGGCCACAGCCGGAGCTCACCATTCCCCGCCCCCTGGTTTCCGGGGGCCTTGTAATTTATAAGCTGGGGGAGGCAGCCAGCCGTCTGCAGTGCTGACCACCTCCCACCCTCTCGCCCACCTTCTTCCTCACTCAGTTTTTGTACCTCTGGGCCCTTAGTTTTTATTCTTTTTATTCTCTCTCGTGTGTGTGTGCGCGTGGTGCAGGAGTGGCCACTCAGACCCTGGCAGTCTTTCTTCCTCCTCCCTCCCTCGAACACCACTGGCTGCCTGTCCATTCATCTGTCCGTCTGTCCGTCTCTCCGTGCATCTCTGTGAGAAGCGTTAGGGGCTGTCAGGGGCCGAAGGGTGCCCGGAGCGCCTCTGTGGAGCTGGCCGCTGGGCCGGGGGCTGCAGGTGTAAGTGCCGTGGCCCCCAGGAGCCTCCTTCCGGGACTCGGGCTCCTCCCAGGGTGGGCGGTGCTGGCTTTCTCTTCTCCCCCCTCTTCCCCTTAAACCTGAAGGCAGACGATGTCAAAAGCTCTTAAACTGTAACCTGTAGATGTGCAGAGGGAGAGGTGATGGGACTGTGGGCCCTCCCTACCCCTAGCTCCGACCCTTGCCGCCGACCCAAAGACAGCTGGTGGCTTTTCCTCCCCCCTGGACACAAGCCTGGGTTTGCCTGGCTGGTCAGCGCAGCTCCCGCTCTGGGGGTCTCCTGAGCGGGAGCGTCCGGGGAGCCGCCTCCTGCTGGGACTTGGACTCAGTCTCACTGGGTCTCGGGCCCTGGTGAGCAGAGCGGTGTCACCTGCTTAGGGTCCTGCTGCTTTTGGTGCGGAGCAGGTGCTCCTCTGAGCCAGACTGGGCCTGGAACCCCCCCCACTTCCCGCCGTGCCCCTGCCTCGTGGCTCCAGTGTGGCCGCTGCAGGCGTGCAGCAGTGAAGGGCCCGGCCCCCAAGTTTGGGAGTCCTGATTGGGGTGCAGTGAAGGCAGGTGGGGGCAGTGAATGCGACTCCTCTAGGCCCAGCACAGAGAGCAGTAAGCGCTCCGGAAGGGTTGCCACCTGGCGTGGGGCTGGCGTGGGGCTGGCGTGGGGCTGGCCGCGCAGGCCCTGAAGCAGCCTGGTCTGAGCTGGGGACTGAAGCCCTCAGTTCAGGGCAGGCTGCTGGGCGCACGCGTGCCCTTTCTCTGGCCGAGGCAGACGCCCAGCGGGCTGGGTCCTTCCTCAGCCTCGCCTCCTTCCTGTCCCCAGCCCTTCTTCCCTTCTCCTCCCTGACTGCTGGCCCCTTCACCTCCCCTCCTCCCACCTCTACTTACCGCTGACCCGGGCCGTGCAGGGACCAGACCAGCGCATGAAACAGAAAGCCCGCCCCCTGTGCAGCCCCTCCAGGTGGCACTGGGAACGCTGTTGCTCTGCCTGCCCTGCACCCCAGTCTCTGGCGTGGGGTGGGACTGGGGGCCCGGCTTCTCCGGTCAGGCAGGCGTGGCCCAGCACCCAGGCCCTCCCACCAGCTGTGACCTGGGACGCCTTGCCAGCCGCCTCTGAGCCTCAGCTCCCTCCTCCGCAGCGAGAGGTGAATGCTTTCGGGGGTCGTAACGACTCAGGGAGAGGATGGACGTGAGGCCCTGATGTGCCCGGCATGGGGGAGGCGCCTGGTGTGTGGTCAGCACCCTGCTCAGCACTCGCGCTGGTTTCCAAGGCCACAGCAGAGGCCACAGGTGGGGACAGACCGGAAAGGAGAAGTGTGGCGGTGACACGTCTCTGGTGTGGCTGGGGCTGGGCCACGCGTCTCGCTGACTCCACAGGCTCTGAGAGTGGTGGTGGTCGTTCCCTTGTTCTAGTTCAGGAGACTGAAGCTCAGAGGAGCAGGGCCCCCAGTGGGTCCCTGCTGGCCCTGTGTGTCCTTTGGCCCCGTCTGTCCCTTTGTCCGCTGGCTGCTTCCCCCTTGCTTTAGACTCTGGTTCTGCTTCCAGGGGCCGCTGCCCCCAGACGCCTTCCTAGTTGCAGGGCTCCAGGGTGGAGCACCCCCTGCTCTGTCCCCACGGCGGGTGCTGTGGAGTTTGTGTTTCCAGAGGGCTTGGCCAAGGTGGAACCCCAGAACAGGTGGGGCCCCATTCTGTGTGAACTCTGGCCCCTGTGAGCATAACCACTGTATGTTCGGAAGCTGCGGCCTCCGCCCTGGCCTCCCCCTCAGACGCGGGAGGCTGGTCCGGATCTCTGTGGTCCTCGGCCACGCGGGCTGGCGGCAGCGTTTCACTGTCCTCGGTAGGGACTGCAGAGTTCCTGGGGGGTCTCAGCCCCACCAACTGTCCGTTTGGAACAAAACACCAGCCCTTTTGTAGTTGACAAAGAATAAACTTGTTAATCTGACGATCGCAAATGGCATCTTGTGACTCAGTTGGCACCACCGCTCTGGCTCGCTGGCCCCCGGCCCAGCGTGACGCAGGGGACATGCAAGTGGGGTTGGGGTCGGGGCCGTGGGCGGCACCAGCAGAGAAAGTGGTGTGAGTGGCGCCGGGAGGGGCCACAGGGTTTGAGCGTGTGCGGATGGGCAGGGTGCCCAGGCCCAGAGCGCGGGGGACGAGTTCCAGGGACTCCTTCACTGGGGTGCCCAGGAGTGGCTCCTTTGTTGAGAAGTGGTGCCTGAGGTGCGCAGGTCAGGTGTGGCGTGAAAGGGGAAGGCGGCGGGCAGTTGGTGGGGGTGCGCCCTGTGTAGGGCTCACTGCCTCCCGGGGCGCCGAGCCGCGGAGTCCAGGAACTGGCCCAGAGCCTTGGGGCTGGACTTGCACTCCCGCCCTGCGAGCCCCCCACTGACCTGTCCCTCGGCGGTCCCCGCATCTGTGCTCAGGACTGGCCCTGGGCCAGGCACCGTGTGGGCACCAGAGGCATGTTCTGAGAGTCCCGCTGGGGGCTGTCCTTCAGCACCTCATTAGCAATGCTGAATCTGGGGGCGTACTTAGGGGAAGGGCCGGGACCTGCTCCCCTGAGCTGGCAGACTCTGGCTCTTTGGGGGACCCCCTCCTTGCCCCATCCCAGCACAGATACGAGGGGCAGATCTCTAACTCCCGCCCCCATCAGAGCTGGGTTCTAGCTGAGGGGCTTGGGTTTCTAAAGCAGGAGGTCCGTCTTGGAAAAGGCATTGCTTTGGCCAAGAATTCACTCTGTTTTCCCGAGAGCAGGTGACCTGTGCCACGGGCCAGGTGAAAACCACATACTCCATTAGTCTGGGCATAATTTATTTTTTGCATAGCCAAAAACTAGAATCTGGAGATACAAAATTAAGAACCCAACAGTGCAGCATTTGTGACGGAAGAGCACAAAACCAATCTCGGTGGTCGGGGCGGCGGCCGTGCGGGAGCCGGGGCCGGGGGAACTGGGGGCGCGCCGGGGCCGCGCCCTCACCCCAGCTTTGTGCCGCCCGCCCGTCGGCGTGGCCCCCCCTAAGGACGCCCGAGTGCGTGGCAGCCCCTCCGGGCGGCGGGGCCACACCCAGGGCCCCACAGAACGGGGCCAGGAATCAAGCCCTTAGCTTTTCAGTTAAAAAACAGACCTTGAAAAATATTTACATGCTACAGCAGGGCCTGCTGGGTCAGAAACCCCCTGCCCCAGGCCCCTGCCCTTCCCAGCCCCCCTCCCCACCCCCAGCCCCCCTAGAAAAAAAAAGCCAGGAAGGAAACAATTGAGCAAGAGCTGAAAGAGCCCCACGGGTGGCTGAGGGTGAGGGCCCCTGACAGCAGGGGCCTGATTGCGATGGGGGTGGGGCAGGGCCCACAAGGCAGGCCGACCTCCCACCTGGTACCCTGAATGTCACCGTGACCAGGTCACCCCTGGGCCGCCAGGAGAGCCCAGGAAGTGCCCTGCTCCCATCCTTACAGCTGCCGGCAGGTGCTCACGGCCTCAAAGGACAGGCCCGGGCGCCCTGCACGGTGGGGGGGTGTGGCAGACTCGCTCAGGGGGTCTGGCGGGCCCCAGTCCTGGCATCAGAGGAGGACAAGCAACTAGTGCCCCCCACAGAGGGGACCCTGGGGCCCTCGGAGGCTCACAGGAGCCAGACCTCGGGCACCAGAAACCCCATAGACCGCCTTGACCCAGGACAGACACGGTGTGCAGAAGCCCTTCGGAGGCCCGCGGGGCCGGGCTCCCCTGGGCTGCGGCCGAGCCCGGCGGCCCTCTGGCAGGAGCTCCCCGCCTGCTGCCTGGTCCCCACCTGCACCGAGAGCACCTTCCTCCCGTGGGCCTCACTCCCGGGCCCGGCCCACGCTCGCGCCCCCGGGGCTTTGGCGGGACCCTCACTCGGGGCCTCCCAACGGAGCCTCCCGGGTGCCGGCCCTCCACCAAGGGCCCGGATGGCCAGAGGCGGCCAGGGCTCACCCACGGCTGCCGGGACGCGCGTTCCCTCATCGCCTCCCCTGCCTCTCAATCCCCTGTGATATGCTACATATGTACACCCTCCCAGGAGCGGGAGGCAGACGCCTGGCAGAAGGAGAGTGAGGGGAGAAAGACGCTGGAGCCAGCTGTGCCCCTCAAGCTGCCTGGCTGCGAGGAGAACCCCGGGAGTCCTTTCGCGTCTCCATGGGGCCAGCGGTGCGGTGCTCGCTCCGGGGCGGCGGCATCAGAGCGCTGATCAAGCACGCGGGGGCATGGCAGGGGCGCTGCTCTCCCACTCCCGGGGTGGGGGCACGGCTGGCCTCCCGCTGGCCTCCCGCTGGCCTCCCGGCTGGCTGGCAGCGCCCGGGGAAGGCCTAGTGGGCGGGCTCCCCGTGCACCCTGAAGCGGTAGATGCAGGTGTACTCGGGGTGGCCCCAGTTGGTCAGGATCCGCAGCTCCACCACCTGGTACGCGGCCATCTGGGGGTCCTGGCGGAGGAGGAGGGGGTTAGTGTCGCAGAGCCCTCAGACCTGACAGCAGGCGGAGCCTGGACTTCAAGGCTCCCGTCCTCAGGCCCTGCGGGGGAGTGTCCAGCTGGTGGCCCAGGGGCCCCAGGGGCCCGTTCCTGTCGACCGGCAGAACTCCCTTAACGGGGTTTGCTGCTCCGCGATGATGTTGGCAAAGAATCCCTTTACTATGAATTAAGCAGGATTTCTTCCTTAGAAATCAGGCCTCTGTCCTCTGTCCTCTGTCTTCAAAAAGCCCCAATATTTGAGCCAGCCTTTGGAGTCAGCCTCACCTCCCCTGGTGCCCCCATGCAGCACTCTCCAGCTCCCCTCCTGTCCCCGCCCGCCCACCCCCCTGCTGAAGGCGCGGCACCCTCACGTCGCTGAGAAATCCCAGCTCCGCTACCACCTCAGAGCTCCTGGCTCAGCCCGTGTGTCCAGGCCCCCCGTCTGCTCCACTGGACTGTCCTACAGGGGCCTCTGGCTGGGGGCCAGCCTGCCCGTCTCTGCGTGAGCCCCTCGGCTGCCCTCGGCTGCCCTCAGCTGCACCTCCCGCCCCCTGCTCCCGCCCGGGCACTCCCAGTGCTGTCCCGCCACCTCTCCGTCCGCCCTCCGCACGCCCTCCTATCAGCTCTGGCTCGCTGCCCTGCAACCGCCTCCCGGCCCACCGCCCTGTCTCGGGGCTGGTTCCCCCCCTCACACCCACCATTCACACGCAGTCACAGGGACCTTACCGTAGCGAGCATCACACTGTCACTTCTCCGCCTAAAGCCCGGCAGTGCCCCTCTCCCCACCCCGTCCCCCAGCACAGCCCTGAGGGCTGGAGCTCTGTGGCCCGGCCTCTGGGCCGGCCTCTCCAGGCCCTCTTCCTGCTGCTGGGCTTTCACCTCACCCTCACGCCTCTCACTGGTGTGTTCCAAGTCCTCACCCTCTGGGGAGGTTGCAGGCAGCCTGCATCAGATTCACCTGGGCTCTTAGTTGGAATGCAGGTTCCCGGGTGCCAGTGGCCCCAAGGAACCCTCCTCCTGGGGTGGGGCCTGGGACCCTGCATTTCTAACAAGGGCCCGGAGGACAAGCCCACTCTGGGTGAGTGGCCACGCGCACTCTCCCAGGGCCTGGACAGCCGCCCCCCTGTTCCGTGCCTTGAGCTGCGGGAGCTCGGGGGCTGTGGGTCCCCGCTCTGCGCCCCCGCTGCCTGGCTCAGGGTGACTGCTCAGAACGAGTCTGCTGAAAGGGTGGGAGCGCGGGCCCGCCACCCCTGCTGGTGCCGCGGGGTCCTGTACCTGAAAATAAAACGTCTGGATGGGCTCCCCGTCCTGGTCGTAGGTGAACTGGCCCAGAAGTGTCCCCTCCTGCCGCAGGTCTTCGTCCAACCCCTGGAAGGACGAAGGGGGGACGCTGCCCTTAGACACGTGCCCTGGCCAGCGAGGGGGAGGAGAGCCTGCTCTCCCCGGTCCCCACACCGGTCCCCTCCCGCCCTGCCGGCCTGCAGGGGACCTGAGCCTGGACTCAGGGCTGCGAGGGCGTCCATGGCAGGCCAGTCACTTAGCTCCTTGGGCCTCTGCTTCTTCCTCTGCAGCCTGAGACAGCTGGAATCGGAGGACCATTTCCCACCCTGGCGCCGTCTCTTCCAAATCTGCGTCCCTCCCCAGCCAAAGAGCGACCCCAACGTCACCCTCCGTAGGGACCCCTGGGGCCGCCCGCACAGGCGGGATGGATACTCACAAGGACCGCGAAGTCCTTGGGGGCGCTGGAGATGGTGCTGTTGGGCGACAGGGACTTGGGCACGTGCTCTAAGGTGACGGCGGTGGGGCGGATGCGGGCCGAAAGGCGAACCACCGCAAAGCCCTGGGGCCCCTGGAAGGCCCAGCAGTTGCCCGGGTGCACGTCTGGCTGGAGGGGAAGGAAGCCGGGTCGGTGCAAGGCTGGTGGCAGAGCCCGCCGGAGTGCAGCCCTGACTGACCCGGGAGGGGACAGTCACCCACCCACACAGGCGACTCTGCTGGGGGGGGCCCCTGCTGTCGCCCTTGCTGGGTGCCTACCTGGAGGATCACGCGGGGTGACTGGGAGTGGTACCACAGGGGGACGCCGAAGAGGCTGAGGAGGGCCGTCTTGGTCTCGTAGGTCTCGGAACATCGGGTGCTGATCACGCTGGCCCCTGACACAGGGAAGAAGGGACGTGCTGGGTGCCTGGGGCCTGGACGCAATCAGCAGGGGACGGAGACGGGACGACCGGCTCCGCAGCGCAGAGGTCCCCGGGCTTAAAGGGCGGAGGCAGCCTGAGGGACCACTACTGCCTGGGGCCTCTCTGAAGACAGAGTGCAGGTGCCCCCAACCCAGACCTCAGAGCAGCTGTAAACAGCCTCGTCCCAGCTGAGGACGGTGCTCAGCACGTCCCAGCGTCCTGACACCTTGGAGCTGGTGTTTGCCGCAGTCAGGCATTCCCAGTGGCGTGACCTCCCATAAGCCCAGCTCAGCCAGCACAGCAGCTGCTCCAGCCACCGGGATGTGGTGCCAAAAAAAAAAGGGCGGCGTGCGCACCTCCTGATTCCAGCGCGTAGTCCACCATCCCGATGCGGTCCTCACTGTAGCGCTTCAGGGCCTGGTTCACGATGCGGTGCACCTCCTGAAACAGGCACCCAGAGCCACTGTGACGGGGGCAGACCCACCCACCCTCGTGCCTCCCCTGCCGGGGGCCAGGAGCCCACAGACCAACTCCCTTCTGTGCTTGCTCCCCACGAGGGTGCCTCCACCCTCCCACACCAGCCCCACAGCAAGCTCTGGAGCCTCCCGCATGCCACTTGGGTCCCGAAACGCGCCGGGGAGTTGGCAGTGTGGGTCTGCGGCTCCCAGGGAGGAAAGCAGTGTGTGTGAGTGGGGTCCCGGGGCCGAGTTCCTCACCTCCTCCGTCACCCCGATCACGCCTTCCTTCTGCAGCCGCAGCCCCAGGCTGGCCACCGCCTCCCTCGAAGACTTGCCCTGCATCTCGGCCACGTGGGTGAGGACCTTGCTCTCCAGCTCCTGCAGCTGCGCCTGCACCTCCTCTCGCTGGAGGAGCCCAGCGCGGCTCCCGCCGCCTCGGAGCAGGAACTGGCTGATCCAGGCGGGGAACTGAGACTCCACCTAGGGGCCGGAGAAAGGTCTCAGTCGGGGATGCTGGCAGCTCGGGTAGAGGGGTGGGGAAGGGGTGTGGGCCTGCTTGGAGGGAAGAGCTACAGACCATTATGTTCTAGATATGAAAACGGGAAGAACTCCCATCACAGGGAGCCAACGTCTATAGGTCAAGGCTAGGGCCCGGAGCTCGTGAGACGGGCAGGCTGCAGGGGCAGCAGGAAGCTCTCTGCCCCGCGCAGGCTCCAAGGACAGGGGGTCTCAGAGGGCGGGGTGTTGGGCAGGGGGTCTGCAGTTCCCACGCACATCGTCCCGCACGGCCTGGAGCTGCCCCGGCAGCAGGCCCACTTGGTCCGCCACCGAGTTCTGCTTCAGGGTCAGCGCCGCCAGCTCCTGCCGCAGGCCGGCCAGCTGGCCCTCCAGCCGCCCCAGCTCCTTCATGGAGTGCTCGCGGAAGGACTCCTGGGTCATCCTGCTCCCAAAGAGAGAAGGGTAAGCCTTGGGTCTCTGGGGAGGGTCTCCGAGTTGGCTCCTGATGTGAGGAGGGCCCAGCATACACAGGTGGACGCGAGGCCTGCTCTCGAGACCCTGGCTGTGAGCACAGCTCCAGGGCTGGCCGGCCTGTCCCAGGGGCGGATATTTATTTATTTGTTTACTTATTTATTTTCAGACAGAGGGCAAGGGAGGGAGGGAGGAAGGGAGAGAAACATCGATCCGTTTGCCTCTGGCACGCCCCACACTGGGGACCTGGCCAGCAATCCGGGCATGTGCTCTCACGGGGAATCAAACTGGTGACCTAGACTGGTGCTCGACCCTCTGAGCCACACCGGCCAGGGCACCAGGGAGCTGATTCTTATCCTGCTCCTTCTCTAAGCTCAGATCCGCCACCTGCTCGGCCTTAGCCGCTCACACCCGCCATGAGCATGATGTCTCGGGCTCGGGAAGGCAGTGGCTGGACTGCACAGGAGGCTGTACGGAATCCGAGTTCTCCTCCAGTGCCCCGCCGCCGGCCTCCAGGCCCCTCAGGGACAGGGTCTACCCCTGGGGTCCTGAGCTGGGCTTCAGACACCCTGCTCTCTGCCGGGAACACAGCCAGAGCTCTGCTCTGGGGGCTCCACTGCCGGTCCGCCTGGGGCGGGGCTGGCTGGGGCGGGGCTGACTAGAGAGGGGCGGGGCTAGCTGGGGAGGGGCGGGGCTGACCAGGGACAGGCAGGCCCAGCCAGACTGTAGGGCCCCTTACCTGTGCCACTCGGACTTCAGCTGTTGGAGCCGAGTCTCAGACTCCTGTTAGCAGGAACAAGGGAGAAATGCAGGTGAGGTCAGGCCCAGAGAAGTTGGCCTCCTAGAGCAGCACCTGCTCCCTTTGGGGGTCTTTGCCTGACCACGCCCCTGCCCCAGGGGCTCCCAACCGCTCCAGCGAATGCCAAACTGGCCTCCCGGCCAAGGTCCCCCGGAGAGCCTCACCCAGCATCAGGCGGACTGAGGCATCCGCAAGTTCACTCCTGCATTCAGCATGTTAGACCCAACACCACGGGCTGCTTGCAAGTGACCCTTCCCGCCCCCCAGCCTGCTCCCAGGGCATCCCTCGGAGCATTCCAGCCCTGGGCGCTCAGGTCACACCGAAGTCTGGAGACTACACCCCCCGCCGCCTCTATGGGGTCTAAGCAGGCCCTTCAGGAGGCCGACGTGTCTCTCTCGGCCCAGGAACAGATGTCGAATTGGAGGCCACTGTGGGCCGCGGGTGCCCCAGGCCCGCCAACCTGGGAGGCCTGGACGATCTTCTTGAAGAGGTCTTCGGCGTCCTGTTGGTGTTCTGTTCTCAGAGTGGCTACTTCCTCCTGTCGGGCAGTGGGAGAGGCGGAGGGTTTCACCGAGCTGCGCGCAGGCGGCCACTCGCCGCCGCCACAGGCAGGGTGGCCAGAACCCAAACCAGGCCTCCCTGGGGGCCCTTCTGCTGCGGTGCTTCTTGGAAACGTGCCCGCCTGCCCGAGACCTACTCGGTGCCAGGCACTGCGCCGGGCACCCCGCGTTCTCGTGTGCTCGCAAGCGGGCGTGGGGGCGTGGGGGCGTGGGGGGGGGGCTCGGGGGCAGGCAGCAGAGCGTCTGGTTTAATGAGGAGGAAACCGAGACTTAGTGAAGGTCATTGCCAAGCGGCAGAGCCGTGTCTTTCACAGCGGGGTGTGCAGGGTCCCGCCCCCTCCACCCCCACGCTCACGCTGTCCCCTGCACACGACCCCCAGCCCTCGCCCCCAGGCCGCGGCTCCGCTCCCCCACCTGGATCCGGGCAGCGGTGTCCCTGCGGAAGTCCTCCTTCAGGGCCGCCTCTCGGCGGCTCACCAGCCCCTCCAGGAGCGCCAGGGTGTCCTCGTGGCTCAGGCCGCCGCCGCCGCCGCCCCCCTCACCCGTGGCCCCTTGCCGCAGCTCCAGGCGCTCCAGGCGCAGGGCCTCCTTCTGCCAGGTGGAGGAGAACTCGGCAGCGAGAGCTTCCAGGCGCCGCTCCAGCGAGTGCACGCGGGACAGGATGCGCTGCTCAGCCTGGCGGGGCGCGCGGGAACATGCACAGGGGTGAGGGGCGGGGGAGGGAGAGGGGAGAGGGTCCCAGGCGCGCCCAAAGGCAAACACACGAGGGTCTGGGCTCTCGCGACAATCTCTCTGCCCTGCGGGTGGGCGAGTCATGCAGCAGGTAAATGTGGTGACAGTGAGCCCAGGGTACAGGGACACTCAGCGGGCCGGTGCGGGGGGGGGGTTCTAATCCCCGAAAAGGAGTGCGTGTGGGACAGGGGAGAAAGGACACAGTGTCCTCCCAGACGAGGGTCCCAATGGAGGCACAGCCAGAGAAGAGGACGGGAAGAAACCGCAGGATGGCCCCGGGGGGCTGGGTGACCTGTGGGCGGCACCCATCCCCCCTCCGCTCTGGGGGTGCACATGCGTGGGAGAGCGTAGGGGGCCGAGGGGTTCAGCTGCTGCCTTTCAGCAGCTTCCTCTTCTCCCGTCGGTAAACTACGGCCAAATGGCCAGATCATTTGGAAAGGCTTTTTCTGTTTCCTCTTTAACTTGTGCCCCAAGGAGGAGACAGAAGACCAGTCCCTTGGACCTGAGGGTGGCATGTGATTGCGCGCCGTGAATGCTGAGGACCTTGTTGGCTTCTCAGCAGAGATCTTTGCCAAGAGAAAGCATAGAACAGTCTGTCAAGTACCAAAGGGCAAGAACACTGGCTACGGAGGTGGCTTCTGATTTTTAAAATTCCATTTTTTGCACGTGACTCAAAAAGCAAACAAACAGTACAACGTCGTGCTCCTAACCCCTGCCAGCCTCCACCCAGGGCCTCCCCCTCTCCTGCCTGAACCTGGCAACCATTTTTATTAGTGTCTTTGTGCAAATGCAACCCCTCTCTCCCTCTCTCTCTCTTTACAAAAAGGTGGTCCTGGAATTAAATTGTATTTAATATCCTTACTAATGATTGAAAAAGGATAATGTATACACCATTATCTTACAAAATAATAAGATCACGGTCAGGAAAGTAACATCCACCAAAATAAATGGTGAAAACTGTGACCCCAAATTAACTTCAGCAAGATACAAACCAAGCCAAGTCACCGCAATAAACAGCTCGAAGTTTTCACCCTGGACCTCAGGAGGGGCGTGTACACAGGCCCCGCCCTCCTCGGACTGCGGGCTCGGCGAGCACCGCCCATGCCTGTGTCATCCGCCCCCCGCCCCGGCAGCTTGCAACAGTGGCTGCCTGTGCGCCCTGCGCGATGTGGCCTTGCAGGTGCTTCCCCTGTGCGTGTCCAGCCGGGCTCTGGGGTTTGCTGAACCAGCGGAATGCGGAGGAAGTGACAGGGAGCTGGTTTCAGACGGAGGCCTCCGAAGGCCTGGCCCGATTCTGCTCTCCTAGAAGCTTGCACGGCTGCCGTGGGAACAGGACCGAGCTAGCCTGCCGGACAACAGGAGCGCGGGTGGAGCATAGCCAGCCCTGCTGATGCGCCAGCGGCTGCTGCCCACGCGGGAGGGAGCCCAGCCAAGACCGGCCTGGCCTTGCTCAGGCTGGAAGACCCAGAGACTCACGAGCTAATCAAACGCTTGTACTTTCAAGGCACGGATCTCAGGGGTGGTTTATCTGTGCGGACAGGCAACTGACCGGGATGTTACCCTATTCACAGAAGGTGCTCGGCACACACAGGGCGGGGCACAAGGAGGTTCGCGACTGTGAGTACACAAAACACACAGTTTGCCCTTGTATTGCTGTTTATTAATTACTGTATTATTTTCCACGCGAACAACTGTAAACCTACTTTTGCCCCACCCTGTATTTGTGAAATTATATTGAAAGGAACAAAGCAAATGAGACAACTTGTCTGACTCCTCCTCCTTCTGTTCTCTGGGCTTAGAACGGCAACTCACCTTGGGACGGTCCTGAGTCCTGTCTGTGCGAACTGCCTGCCTGCCTCCCCATGCACACACACCCCAAGCGGCGGAGAGGGTGCCGGGGAGATGAGGCGGGGCCCCGGCCAGGCTGGCACCCGTGTCAGCTTTGCATGTCAGGTGTACACGCAGGGAAACCAGCTGCGAATGGGCTGAGGGAGGAGCCCGGGAACTAAGATACTCACCTGGGAATGTGAGGATGAGTCTCTGGACACCCACACCTCATGCTGCTGGCCGCCGCCCCTCGCGGCCCACCAGGAGACCACAGCGGGGTGGAGTGTCTGCAGCCCATAGGGGTAGAAATACCAGGCACCTGTACACAGGGGAGGGGGTGGTTACTCGGGCCCGGGGCTGTGCGCGAGAAGGCGCGGATGGTGAGGACGGCAGCCTGACTGGTTTGTTTACGCAAGCTGAGCGGGGGCTTCTGCCCACAGGCCACTAGGGGGCAGGTGCCTCCCACAGTTCTCTGGGGCAGCAGCGTCCACCACACAGCCCGGAGTGTTTGCATTCTCACGATCCCTCAGGGGTCCTCATCTCAAACCTGGAGAAGACGGCTACTCAGGCTCGGGACATCCGGGGCTGGAGCCCAGAGCGGCTGGAGCCCAGGGGCCCTGCTGGTGGGTCTCAGCCCAGACTTGACACCAGAACCGCCCAGGGAGCTTTTAAATCACCCGGTGTCAGAAAACGCACCGTCAATGATACACAGACGAACAGATGCCACAAAAAGACCATACACATAATCCGAATTGCTAATGTTTGTAGAGAAGGGGAGGGAATTTTTTTCTCCTTCGCTCTAGCGAACGCTCAAGGGCACCGGAGAAGGGGAGGGAGGGTCCTGAGGGCCCAGCGGGAAGACTTGTGGAGCCGCTTAGGGAGGGCTCTGGGGGCTGTGAGTGAACCGACGGTGAAAGCAAAGACAGCGTCGGCCCCAGTGAAAGGAACTACACATGTAACACCCCAGAGAGTTGTCTAAATGCAGGAAAAGGAAAGCCAGTGACGGAAGATGTGACGAGAAAGGAATGAAGTCGTCAAAATCAGTGTAATAAATGCTGGGAGGTGGTGGGAACAGGCGGAAACCCGCCCCCGCCCCGCCCCCTGTCTGCCCGCCCTCCACCCAGAGTGAGTTCATTGGCCGAGGGGACCTCGTAGGTGGGATGTAAAAGCTCCCCAGGTGACTCTAATGGCAGCCACGATTGGGAACCACGGATGCAGAACACACCTCCTGGAGGGGCTGCCTGTGGCTGCAGGACAGGGCACAGGGACACAGCCACACAGAGGTGCTTGCATCTTGCTCTAGGGGCCATCTGCGGCGTGTTCACTTCTGAGCTGTGCATGCGCGCGTGTGTGTGTGTGCGGGGGTGAGGGCACCGGAGAAGGCCACGCTGGCTGAGGAGTCTCCAGCCAGTAAGATGCCACACCTGTCACTCATCAGCCAGGAGGCCGGGCGCAGGTGCGACAGGAAGCATGTGACCACCAGGCTTTGAGTCAGACCCTCTGGACACGACCTCACTGACTGCACTCCCGGAGCAGGCCCCGCCCGCCCCCTGCCTTAGAGACTCTTGAGAGGCACCTGCTCGTGACGCCAGCAGGAGGGCAGCCAGCCCCCCCCCCCCAGGGGAGGGCGGGGCCCACCTTCCACTGCGTTAACTCATGGGAAAGTGCTTTCTGACTCACACGCTGTGTGATCCTAAAGGGCGTTACCATTTTAAGGCTGATGCCCAGTCCCCAGTGGATGTGCACAAGCTGTTCTTGTAGCAGGAAACAGAGAGGAAACCAACACTTGGCAACATGTTCTGCCTTGGTATTAGTAAAAAAAAAAATAATAATACCAGTTGCATAGATACTAAACCTATATAAGCAAGTCTCTAACAAATAATAAAGCATGATCTTAAATTATAAATTGGTACAATCGTTGAAATTGAGCTTGGGGGGGGCGGTCATGGAGGAAACTCACATGAAACTGTCCAATGAGAAACTGACAGGAATGTGGGAGTGAGTACACACACACACACAATGATTTCAACTATGTAGCAAATCCGGAACTGTCATGGCAGAGACTGGGCCAACGGAGAGCGTTTCAGGACCACAGGCATCTTAGTGTAAAAGGCGTACTCACTTCTCTCTATTACTTCATTGCTTGGATCTCAAAGCTAGCTAAAGATGGAGCCTGACCTTGCACCAATAATTCACGGGCCCAGACTACGCTCTGATTTGGAATGGAGGGAAAATGACGCTAATAATAGTGCTGTCAGAGGCCCCGGTTTTTACTCCTGTGCCAGGGCGTGTTCCAGCCTACGTGGCTAAAGCGCTCCTCCACGTGAGCTGGGCATCCAGTGCAGCCGCCCACACTGAAGACAAGAAGAGCAGGGAGGAGCATTTCCCCTCTCACCCACGGGACACCCTGAGAACATGGCAGCACCGGCGGAGGACCCAGGAGAGCCCGACAGGAGTGGCCTGGGGCTCCAGCCTCCGGAGGTGCCCAGGCTCGGTCTGACCACCCTCGTCCTGCCTCCTGCCTGTGCTGGTAGGTGATCACCATCCCTCTAGTTTTCGGTTCAGCTCAGCACCGCCTCCGCCCAACTCTGCCCGTCCCCGCCGCCCGGGTCCTACCCATCTCCTGGGACAGCGGGTCAGCTCACCGTAGGTCAGGCCGGTCAGGAGCAGCAGCAGCAAGAGGAACCATAGGAATGTCTTCAGGGACGAGAGGCGCCTGGGTCGTGGGAGGGAGGGGTGAGCAGGGGGGTCGAGGTGTCAGGGGGCTCCAGGGCCTCTTGGCTCCCCGCCCCGGGGAGTCCCCTGACATTTTTCCCTGAGTGACAAAGCAGGGCTGAAGGGGAAACCCTGTGTGTCTCATCTTGCCAGGGCCAGACTGGACTCTTAGAGGTCTTGAGTAATGGGGACAATTGTGACCCTGTGAATTTAATTGATGTCACTAAAAATAAGTAGTGGAGCCTTGGCTGGTGTGGCTCAGTGGATTAATCACTGGCCTGCAAACCAAAGGGTCGCTGGTTCGATTCCTAGTCAGGGCACATGCCTGGGTTGCAGGCCAGGCCCCCCTCCCCCATAGGGGGCGCTCGAGAGGCAACCACACACTGATGTTTCTCTCCCTCTCTTTCTCCCTCCCTTCCCCTCTCTCTAAAAATAAATAAAATCTTAAAAAAAAAAAAGTAATAGAATCTGCCCTGGCTGGTGTAGCTCAGTGGATTGAGCGCAGGCCTGTGAACTAGAGGGTCACGGCTTGATTCCCAGTCTAGGGCACAAGCCTGGGTTGCAGGCTGGGTCCCCAGCAGGGGGAGTGGGAGAGGCAACCACATACTGATGTTTCTCTCCTTCTCTCCTTCCCTTTCCCTCTAAAAATAAATAAATAAAATCTTTAAAAAAATAATAGAATCTTCGAAGAAACTAAAATTTTCATATGTAGCGGTCCTCTAAACAAGCAAATACAGAAAAAAAAAGGACTCCCTAAACAACATTTTCTTTTAGAAAAACATGAAAAAAATTTTTTTTGCGTGGAGCACGAATCCGTCCTTGCCCCTCTTCTCAGCCCAGCCCCTTGCCTGCTCCAACCAGGACTGCAGCTCGCGGGGCCCGTGCCCAGGTCCTGCCTCTGCTGGGTCAGGGACTTGGGGCACAGACCCGCAGCATCCCCGGGCGGCTCCCGAACACAGGGCCGAGAGGGGAGCGGAGAGTTCCGGAGACGCCCAGTGCCGGGCTAGGGCCAAAGGCCTCCGACGGTGGGCAGAGGCCACCTCGTCTGGAACTTTCCGGCTCATGGCCCCGGCAGGAGCCTCGCTCACCTGGTCAAAACGAAGACGTCGAGCAGGGAGGCAGCGGTCGTCAGGCGGTACCAGGAGGTGCCGATCCACCAGTAGAGGAGCCTGAAGAGCCGGCCTGAGAGAGGGGGGCCATCGGGTTCAGGTGCCGCCCTGGGCTGCTGGCGGCCTGCGGGTGGCGGTCTCAGGGCACCGCCTTCTCTCCACCTGCGGCCCTCCCTGCCCCTACCGACATTGACCCGCCGGGCACCTCTGTCCTGTTGCAGGACTGCCCGGTTCCTCTACTCCAGCCCGCCCGCTCAGCCAGCTGGCTCCCAGCGATTATTCCCGAAGGACCTTCCCCGGTGGTCCCACGGTCTCTCTGCGGGCGCCGGATGCCCAGCCGCAGAGATGGGCGAGGAGGGGCTGCAGGAGGGAGGAGACGGCCGTGCACGGAACAGCCGGCACCCACCTGGAAAGGTGACCACCGTCCAGAGAAACGAGCCCGCCCGAGAGACAGTGCTCCTCAGCCGTGAGCCCGAGCTCCGCTGGTCCGTCTCCAAGTACCCTGCAGGGACAGCGAGGACACCAGCTCAGTGTGTCCTCACTTGGAAGAGCTCTGGGACGTGGGGACCACCTGTCACTTGTCTTCTGTGGGCTGAGACCACGTGGCACTCTCCTGCACAATCCCAGAGAGTCACCCGGCCTGGCACCTAGCCGGTCAGGGACTGTCTGCCGAAGGAACTTTCCAGCGGCTTCTGACACCGTGTCTCTCCCGAGCTCCCCACCTGCCCCCCGGCCCCGAGAGGGCATTCCCTCAACCACTGTGCAGGACCAGACCGGGGTGGGGGGTGGGGGCCTCTGCTGCATGAGGCCCGGGTTCGAATGCCTGCTACAAGTGAACCAGACAGCGGAGCTGACCGTAGGCCAGGATGGCCGACGTGTTGGAGACACCCCAGGCTGGGCTTCAGGGCACTGTGGTGGCTCAGCAGGGACGCCTGGACCATCTGCGGGGGCGCCTGCCAGACCCCGCGCTGTCTCAGGCCGTCAGGGCCGCCGCCCCCAGCCTTCCCCTCCCCGGGGGTCCTGGAACCTGCTGCAGCAGCATCGCCTACCTGCGTAGTCGTCCTCAGAGGAGTAGCCCGAGGAGGACCCGAGGAAGTCCTCGGAGAGCTTGGTCTCCGCCAGCCCATTGATCTTGCTGCTCTCCGTGTCCCCAGTGCCTCTCCTCCTCCGCACCTGCAGGTCCTTGCCTGAGGAGGGGAGGGCGCGGTGTTCTCCTGGGCACAGAGATGCCGGGGAGGGTATTCCTGGGGGCCTTGTGGGGCTGCCCTGACGGACAGATGGAGTCTGCCCTTGGCCTCGGCCCAGCTCTCTAGGCCCCGCCCCTCGATCTCCTGGGCTTGGGGCAGCTACCTGGTACTTCCTCCTCTGAAGGGGGCTGCAGGTTCAGACACCTGGCACAGGTTTCTGAAGCGGGGAGCCCCTCCTCTGGCCCAGCAGGGTTAGGGACCTGGGGGGAGTCCCCTGGCATTTGGGCCCCGTACATTTCCAGAGGAAGCAAAGGCCCCAGGAGAAAGGCTGCAGACACTCACTCCAATAGGGGTCTCGGAGCAGCTGGTCATCCAGGATGGAGCTCCTGGCGAGGGAGGCGGCCCGGGGGCTGCCAAAGTAGGACTCCCGGACCACGGACTCGCTGTAGTAGGAGGTGTGGGTGTCGGAGGAGGGGCCCAGCTGTGGCGCTGGGGACAGACGCTTGGTGTTGCTGGATTTCCTCTTCAGGGTCCTGTGGGCATCGGCCGGGAGGGGAGAGGGGGAACAGGCGGGTAAGCCTGACCAAGACTAGGAAGCCAGTGGCAGGGCCCTCCTGTGGTGAGTGGGCTGGACTTGTTGCTAGGCAACCAACAGCTTCCCAACTATTGACTGGCTGTCTGCAGAGCACAGGTAGCGCCTCCGCTCCCCTTAATTATCTCCAAATCTCGCCAGCAGTTAGGGCAGATCGTCAAGGTGATAGAATCAAGATTCAAATCCGGGTCTTTAAGGGCAAAGCCAAGTTTTTTCCCCTCGTGCTCCTTAATGGATCGGTAATTCCCACAACCCACTGGAAACTCGGACGAACCCGGCCCAGCCTCCAGGAACCTCAGTGGCTGCCATGGGGGCCCACGTCTGCAAGGGGGCACAGTGAGGTGGGTGCCCGTCTTGCTCATTGCCTGGTGCCCCTGGGACCCTCCCCTCCCAGCTGTTTGGCTGGCCCTGCCGGGGCCTGCACGTGGTGAGGCACACGCGTGTGGGTCCGGGGTGACGGCCAGCCGGGCGTGCCCATCCACAGCAGACGGGGTTCCCCTGAGCCCGGCTTGCAGTGTCAGGGTTTCCGGCCCCGCTGATTCTTGAAGCTGCCTCTGCCCACTTCCTGTTCTCTGAACACAAGGGCAGCGGCCTGGCTGCCGGGAGGGGAGAAGCGGCACAGGTCCTGGCCTCCCTGGGGGCGTGGGCGTCCCCTCGGCCGCACGCTGGCACCTGACCTCTGCCCATAAAGATCACGAGAGGAAGAGCCCGTGCAAGCCCTCCGCTGGGAGCCTTGGCGCTGTCCCCGGGCGGGGGGTGGCGGGGGGGGTGGCGGTGGCCCCTTACCTGAAAGGACTGTCTTTAAACAGGGTGCTCTGGCTCCCCGCCACGGAGCTGCCGCCACTACTGCTGCTGCCGCCGTCATCGTCACCCTGGGAGTAGCGCGTGAGGCGCTGGCTTCGACGAGACATGCTGAGGTGTGGTGGGGACCCTTCCCCTGAAGAGTCCTGGGAGAGGGAGGAGGATAGGAGGATGGGTGAGGCTCTGCGCTGTTGGTAGCTCCTCCCTGGGGGCGGAGAGACAGAGGCACTTTCTCCCAATGAACAGACCACCTGCTGTGCATTCAGTCGAAGCAGCCCCAGCCCTGGCTCGGTGGATTGAGTGCCAGGTGTGTGAACTAGAAAGTTGCTGGTTTGATTCCCAGTCAGGGCACATGCCTGGGTTATGGGTCAGGTCTCCACCTGGGGACATGCAAGACGTGCAAGAGGCAATTGATGGATGTATCTCTCGCACATTGATGTTTTTTTCTCTCTTTCTCCCTTCCTTCCCCTCTCTCTAAACATAAATAAATAAACTCTTAAATAAAAAACAGCCTGAGATGTGGGTGCCACCCACCCTGCTGCAGGCCACCGTGTCCTGGGCTCACTCAGTGCCCAGGTAGCCTCTTCCCACAAGGTTTCAGGTTTCCAAACTGACACTGAGCTCCGTGAGAGCCAGAACACCAGGCACACGAGAGACGCTAAGTGAATCTCAGTCATTTCCCTGTAGCTCATCCGCTCATGGACCAGGGCCCCCGTCCAATGGTGGCACCAGAACTCAAACCGTGGCACCAGAGCCCCTGTCCCTGGCACAGGCCCCCCCCCCACTCTAACAGCGGTCATGTGCTGGATCCCCTGGGCTGGTGACTGTGCAGCAGCGTCAGGACAGACGTGACAGTGGTGATAAAGCCCTTTGTAAACGTGCCCTAGGTACCTGGCTCCTTACGTACCCGCTTCTGACCCTATGAGCCAGGGAGACGTCATTAGTCCCACTGCACAAGGGAGGAGCCTGGGACACCGAGGTGAGTGGTATCCCAGCCACCCAGCCTGTGAGTGGCAGGGTCAGGGTTCGAGCTCACATCTGACATGTGCCGGGCTCTGGGTCTGTCCATCCCACCATAAAGTTTTCAAGCTCTTTCAGGGGTGTGCTGTGGCCCCGACTGGAGTCCCTGATAGCCTCAAGTATGTTCAGAACAGGCTGTAGACAGAACTGTTACACAACAAACATTTGTTAACAAACCAACCAAGCAGGGCGGTGGAGTGGCAGTGTGGGGTTACGGGGGAGGAAATCAAGGCCCTGGAATTGATAACTAGGCTCGAAGGCAGCCTGGGTGAGTGACCTGGCCAAAGGAGCTGTTCTACACACCCCCCTCCCCCGGAGGATCACTTTGCTCTACAAACCCAAATTCAAAATCTTGGATTACCAGTGCAAGGGGCATCCACGTGCCCCCTCTGCCAGCCCATGCTACAAAGTCATTGTTACCTAGGCCCACTCCAGAGGTCCTCGTACTTGCGACTTGCTCTCACCTCTCCTATTCCTGGTTGATGCTTCAATTACTAGTGTTCTGGGCTGTGTGGTGGGCACAGACGCTAACACTTCCCAGCTCAGACGACGGGAACCAGAAGGTCCGGTTAGTCCAGCTGGAGGATTCTAGAAAGTCCTCTTCTGCAAACAAGCAGCCTCATGTCTTGATCTCACTGGCATCTTCTCAGGTGGGATGTTCACCTGACACCCTTCCCAGGTTCTAGCCCCTGCTGGTGAAGGACTGATGGACCGGTGGTAGCAGGAAGTTGGCCTGGGTGCTTTTCTCTGTTCCACTCCTTATAAGGCCATTCCACCCCCACGCCTGTGCCCTCCCCACCTGAAAGCTGGCTCCTCCTCTTAACCCCTGCCCTGCAGACCTGGAGGCCTTCACTCCGGGGAGAAACTAAGCGGGGTGTTTACACCACACAGAACGCTGGGGCTGGCAAGAATATAAATACTCATGTGTGTGTGTGTGTGTGTAGGGAGGGCGGTGCCGAAAACTGTCCGCGCCCCCACCCTCCTCGGGGTGCTCTCAGTCTTTCCCGGGGCACGCTGGCATCACAGAACACTTTGCAACTGAGTCTGGGTTTCACAAGACGAAAAAGGTCAAGGCTGCGTTCTCCAAGACAAACAGGAGATGAGCCTCCAGACGCCCAGATAGTTTGCATATGAGAACAGACACCACCCCTCCGCCGGCACGTGATCAGCCGAGAAACCCTCAAACTAAAACAGCCCCAGGTCCTTCGGGGCTGAACCACATCCTTTTCTCAACTTCGCCTTCCTCCGCCCCTCCCGGACTTGTCTGACAGTGTCCCTCCGGTGCCGTGGGTCTCGGGCACCTTCCAGGGGCCGGTGTCCCACCGCATCCCCTCCTGGGGCCTGTAACACGCTCCAGGTGCCGGAACTCCCTCCATCCCCTACGCGCTGAACCCGCAGAGATTTTTATCAGCCGCGAGCCGCGAGCGGGAGCTCTTCCCGCTCCTCTGCTCTAAGTCACTCTCCCGCCCCCTATTTGTTTGGTTTCTTTTTAGAACTGGAACGAGACGGGCCTCCCTGCCGTTCCCAGAGTTCTGACAGGCAGAGGCAGAAAAGAGCCCGGAAACTGCCCGACTCGCACGAAAACACGGGCACTGCCCCGGGCTGGTTTGGGGCAGCCGCGTCTTCACTTTCCTCCTCCAGGGGAGGTTCTGCCCAGGGAAGTCCCGCCTGGAGACATCCGCCCTCCGGGGGGGACCAGTAGGGTGGCCGGCCCTGGGGGCGGGGACCCGGCAGAGATGAGTCAGGGCGGATGGCCTTGGCACGGCGCTGGCTCTTCCCGACCGGCCCAGGGGCGTGCGCCGGGCGGGGCTGGAGCCCGGCCCAGCTTGGCCCCGAGAAGAACCAGGCCTGGGCAGCTCGGCCCTGGCCAGAGCGGCCCGGTGATGACCCCGGGGTCAGGCCGGGCCCGGCGCTGGCGGGGAGGCGGGCGAGGCCGTCCCGCCACCTTTGCCACGCGCGTCGCTCCCCAGAGGCCCGTGGCCAGCTATTACCTGCTGTCGCTGCTGCTTCGCGCGAGTCTGGGGCGTCCGAGGCCCGCCGTGCCGCCCTGACGCGCCCCCTTCTCCGGTCGGAGTCCCGCGAACGGCGCTCGGCGCGGGGGCCCGGGGCGCCCGGGGAGACACAGCCCGGGACCAGGCCGGCGGGCAGCAGCTGCGAGCGGCGGACAATGCGGCCCGCGCAGAGCCGCGCTGCGCGAGTGGGGCCGGGCGGCGCGCGCGTGGCCGAGTGTGTATGTGTGCGCCTGTCAGTCAACCCTGACAGGACGCAGCCCATTGGCCACGCCCCGCCCTCTTTACCGCCCACAGCCGCCGCCCATTGGGCGGTTTGAACACAAAGGCCCCGGCTCGCCCCGCCTGCCGCGTGGGCCCCGCGGGCAGGGCGCGCCCAGTTAGGAGTTCGCGCGTGGGAGGCGCGGGCGAGAGGGCGACAACTGGGTGATGAGAACTCAGCTGGAGCCAGCAGGCGGGGGCTCGGCCGGGCCTCACCGCGCACTTGACTCCCAGCCCGGTGTTTCGCAGCACCTGAGGGCTCCCCCGTGCGCTGCACACCACCAGTGGCCTCCTGGCCGCAGCGTCCCAGCGCTCCGCAAGCCGACTCTACAAGGCCGGGGTGCCAGGACCTTACACTCATTGGGTGGTTGGGGGGCACAGTCTCCCCAAGAATGGCCCGAGGAGGTGGGGAGCAGGGGAGGCAGAAGACCCCGGGGCCTAGGGTCCACCGGGAGGTGTTTGTCCATCTATAATGGTGCATGTATAATTGTTCTCTTAGCCAGGTCTTTTTTACACCCACTTTACAGATAAGGAAACAGGTTTTAAGTGATTTGCTTCAAGTCGCACAGCCAGAAAGAGGCAAAATTGAGATTAGAAGTTTCTCTCCACATCCAATCCCGCATTTTCCATTTTAGGGCCCAGACATGGTGCAGGCTCTGCCACTTCCCAGGCTGGCCCCCAGGACCCCCAAGTTTCACTGTAGAAGCTTTTCTCAGTTTGTTTTTAAAGATTTTATTTATTTATTTTTAGAGGGGAGATAGAGAGAAACATCAATGTGCAGTTGCTGGGGGTTATGGCCTGCAACCCAGGTATGTACCCTGGCTGGGAATCGAACCTGCGACGCTTTGGTTCGCAACCCACTGAGCTACGCCAGACAGGGCTTCTTTTCTCAGTTTTAAGGAGGGAGCTGGCCACAACTGGTGCTGAGAAGGCGTGGGGCGCACGACCGACGAAATGGCGTTGGTCCAGTCGGGGGAAGGCAGGCTCTGCGTTTCTCTGCCTCACGCAGACATGCGTCTGGAACGAGCATCAACAGACGGTCCAGGAGCAAAGTGCCGCCTGACTCCAGGGACCCTGGGCCCTGGCTCCCTCCCGGCACAGCCTGGGAGGAGTCGCTGTCTGTGCAAGCTCTTCTAGGGGAAGATGAAACAGCCTGTCGTTACTACACTTTTCAAGTGCCAAGAGGAAGAGGCAAGAAATGACAAAATCACTGAGACAGGACAGGAAGTGGTGGTGGTGGCTGTGGTGGTGGGTCCAGGAGGGCACTGAGGAAATTTGAAGCCCTTGTGTTAAGTTGACTCCAGACGAAATCCACCCTCTCTCCCTGGGCCTCCACCGCCCCACCTGGAGAGCAGGAGCTTCGGCCGCACGTACAGCATCTTCAGGACCGTGGTGCTGGTTGGGTGCTACCTCCGGGGTTAGACGGAGAGCTCCCTGAGGCCAAGGGGAGAACTCAAATCAGATTTAGGGTCTGTGTCCAGGTAGGGCGGGGCTCTCTCTCGACACCTTCTCCCCACCACGATGCTGAACTCCCCAGTTCAGTCCTGGCCGGTTTTAGTGGAGCCTCCAGATCCCTCCCTCTCCACCGCAGAGCGTGCGTCCCGCGTCTGCCTGGGTGCTCCCTCCCAGGGGCACCTCCCTCCCAGCATGTGCTGGTTTGGGAAGCAGGAGGTGGTGTGCCTTCCACCGGTCTCAGGCGGAGGCAGGCCCTTCTTACACTGTGTCGCCTCCAGGGGCCTGTGGGAGGCGAAGAACGGGCCCTAGAGATACTAGGTGCTAATCCCTGGGCCCTGTGAACGGAGCGTACGTGGCAAGGCGTTGCAGATTCACCTAAATGAAGGATTGCGAGATGCGGAGATTATCCTGGTTTGTCACGGTGGGCTCTCCACGTGATCCAAGTGTCATCTCAAGAGAGAGGCAGAGAAGAGGACAATGTGACCACAGAGGTGGAGACGGCAGCGTTATGTGGCCACAAGGCGAGGGACGCGGGCAGACACCAGAAGCGGGAAGAGACGAATGGATTCTCCCCCGGAGCCTGCGCAGGAGCGCAGCCCTGCTGACAGCTGGCTTTCTGTCCAGGGGTTTTGATGTTGGACTTCTGGTCTACTGAACTGCGAGGATAAATTTCTGTTGCTGCGAGTCAGCACGTGCGTGGTAATTTGGTACAGCAGCCTAGGAAAGTCACAAGGACCCAGGGAAATTCTCAGTTCAGGCTCCGGTGATACGCCAGGCCCCTCCCTCATGGACCCGTGCACCAGACTTGAGTGATCACACACACACACACCCCTGTCTCCCTAGCCCTTCTGCCCCCGCCCCTCTGCCATCTGCTCGCGTAGCGTCTCTGCCCTGCCAGGCTCTCCTCTCTCGGTCCAGCCCCTGTTTGTTTGGCTGGTCCTCCCCCAGCCCTGCTCTCCTCCTCGGCACTGCCCTGTCCTTGCTCCCTCTTCCCGCGCTGCCATGGCATGGACAGTGGCAGGTGGGAAGGGGGTCTGGATGGTGGACAGTGCAGCCACTGTGGCAGGGCCACCTTGTGACTCTTGTCATCGCTGGGCACTTTGCCCTGGTGGCCCCTTTCTTCATTTGAAACAAATTGTGTTTTACGACTACATCGGTAGGTGATTGTATTCTAGGCTTAACTCATTAGTAAATATTCATCGTTATGATATTTAATTTTTCCTTTGGATTTTAAGAGAATCCAAATACAAGCCCTGGCTGGCATAGCCCAGTGGATCGAGTGCAGGCTGCGAACCAAAGTGTCGCAGGTTCAGTTCCCAGCCAGGGTACATGCCTGGGTTGCAGGCCATAACCCCCAGCAACTGCACATTGATGTTTCTCTCTCTCTCTCTATCTCCCTTTCTTCCCTCTCTAAAAATAAATAAATAAAATCTTTAAAAAAATAAAAATAAATAAAAATGGTGTTAGTTATAAAAAAAAAGAGAGAGAGAGAGAGAACTGCAAATACAAACACTTCCGAGGGCGCCTGAAGTGTCCTGGGCCAACGAGGACTCCGGTCTACAGTGTCCACGGCGTTATGGCTGAGGCGAGACAAATTCACACGGACTACTGAGTCCTGTGGAGGAAAAGGGACAGCATGGCCACTCTCTCAAGAGGAGAGTGCCTTGTCAAGCTTTTATTGACTTTAATTTGAGTAAGAATACAGGGCGTATATGGAAAGCTCATCAGTCATTGTCAGGAAGTAATGATCAAGTAGATAACATTCAAAGAACTCTGAGGGCCTATTTTGAGTCAGGGTCAAATAGCTAAAGGGCCATAGAACTTTGGGGAAACAAACTCATTTTAGACTTGGACCCTTATCATTTAAATGGACGGTATTAGCAAAGCAGGTTTCACGGGATCTTATGCATTCTTTCTTAGGCCTGATCACCCTGGGGAACCTGCCCTTTCCCGCACAGGGCCACACCCACCTCCAGCATTGTTTCAGGTTTAGGTCGAGCAGGGGAAGTAAGGCAGCCAAGAGATTAGGAGGCTTCTCCCAGACAGAATGAGGACTCAGGCTCTGTCAAAGCCGAGGGGTGAGGGTCCATCACCCCCCTTCTCCATAGCCCCCTAAGCCCTTCCCTGAGGGCCCCCTCATGACCATGCCTGTCTTAGGTCATCATCCCTTGATGAATGTTACCCATCATTGGCTAACCGGTCACGCAATGGGGGCCAGGCAGGGTGAAGTAAAGTGGGCAGAGGTGGTGCTCCTGCCAGGGGGATAAGCTTTGTCTCCTTAGTGGCTTAGGGTCCCAAGGTCTCTCACTCAGCCTTAGCCCTGGGGGTTACAGCTTCTGAAACCAGGCAGGGTGGTTCCCGACACTGGGCCCTGGGTGCCACTCGGGCACTCAGTGAGGGGAACCAACCACAGCGCTCCTGGGCCACAGAACACCCCTGCTCTCCTCTGGAGCGGCAGCGGCTGTGGGAAGTCCCAGGTCAGTACAGGGTGCAGTGACCAGCGAGGGGGATGGGGCATCTGTAGTCCGGGTTCCAGGCCAGGGGCACCACCCACTGGCTCCGTGACCCTGGGGCAGCCACATCGCCTCTGAGCCGTATTCCTCATTCGCTCAGCGTGAATGGTAACACCGGTCCTGTCTGTCATCTGTATGGCTGTGTGACCTTGGACTGGCCAGCGAGGCTCTCCGGCCTCTGTTTCCTCATGTGTGCGGGCCCGTGAGAGGAGCTGCTCCAATACGAAGGGCTTTGCCACCAGTGGTCCTGGCCAGGGGCAGGGAGGGGCTGTCCTGGACTCAGTAGTCAAGTCAAGTGTCCTCCATGCGCGTGCAGAGACCAGGGCTTCCCCGTTACATCCCCACGTGGTGGCGGAGTGATGTGCGCATGCGCCTGCCTCCCCCAAGGGCCCGGGACGCGTTTGCCAGGGACCAGCGGAAGGAGATGACGCGGTAGGCCTTTGTCAAAGGACCACATGAGTGAGAGTCCCGGCCACCTCCCTGCAGCCCAGGCGACCGCCTCGAGTTCCTTCCAGCTGAGGACACCAGTCGGCAGTCAGGGCGTCGGCGTCTGTCATTAAACCATCCAGGCAGAGCATCCCTGGTGGGGGCGGGGGCGGGGCCCTGACTGCCAAGCGTCCGGGCTGCGGCTGCGCGAACACGTTTGACAGCTGTGCAGAGGCAGTGATCTCAGACGACCTGGTGCCCCGGCCCCGGGGCAGTTGCCCTGCCCCGTGGGGAGCTGGGGTGCACTCCCCACTCCACCCCGCCGGCCTGGCGACGCTCTTTATTCAGAGAGCTCAAACAGGGCAGCCTGTTTTATGGAAGGGGCGGTCCAGGATGAAGGGGAAAGGCACCGGGTCCAGGTCACTAAGCGGGCCAGCCAGGCGTCAGGGACAGGCCCTGGACGCTCCCAGTCAGGCTCCCATGGGTGACTGGGTCTCAGCCATCCCTGTCCCCCCAGCCCCCCCCCACACCTGTCACAGTGCCCAGCTCCTAACAGACGTGCACTGGCAAACCGCTTC